TGCTTTAGGCTTAATCAGTGAATTGCCCCTTTTCCTCCTCCCAGAGAGCTTATAGTGCTTTTGCGAACATCCCTCATCCTCTGAATTTATCTTTAACCTTTCCTTTGTGTTTTACACCTCACTGCCACAGTTCCCCAAGTCAATCTTGGCTTATAAGTAGCATAACTGGATGTGGTAACAGGCATATAGGTAGAAAATTCCTACTACTTAGAAGGGTCAGTTCTACCATAAGTGAACTTTCATATGGGTGCAGTAAGGACCGTTACCTTTTGTATGTTGTTACTTAAGTCATAAGGAGGAAGGAAAGGGTGAAAAAAGCATTCAAATAAGAGGCCCCTTGGTAGTAACATTCAGAAAAACAAAAATATTTACAAAAAAATCATAAAGCAAGAAATGTTTTAAAAAGCATGACATATTTTGAAACAGAATTATCTATCCTGCTGCCAGCTGAAGACGCAGTCTGGAGATCACTAATGGTCAGAGGATGAGGCCTGGCTGAAAGGGAGAACAAAGAAATCCCCTAGACTGACAGTCCTTCTCCTTGACAATTTCATAATAACCTTCGGTCCAAACAGAGGTAGTTTAGAAGGGGAAATAAACAAGCTATCAAGTCAGCTTCCCCAAACTAGTTGAAAGCACTTCATCCTGGAATCACTTGCAGCCCAATTCTGGGGGTGTGTTATCTTCTCTATTCTAGAATTGTCCCTGCCCTCCTTTAAGATACACTTTTACTTTTGGAGGTCTGTTTTTACCAGTTCTGATCTCTGGGCATACCCACATCATGAACAACGGGATCAGGCCACCAAGTATGGCATGTACAATGACGCAGCACCTTAAGGGAGAAATTTTTCTTCTCAACAAATTCCATGGCCCATTCCATACTAAAAATATAAATGGGGAAAATCATTTTAATACCTTCGCCTTCCAACTCTGTTGATGAATAAGTCAGCTGGTTTAACCGTCTATGTGGTAAACGGCACCTGCTTATCTTAAGGAGAAACTCCCACTCTGCATTCCAACTTTCTTGACCACAGCAGATGGTCATCATTTCACACCTACCTCTGGCTGGATCCATGGCTTACCAAGTATTGGAGTTCTCATGCTCTGACCACAAACTTCTTTAAATAACACCCCACAATGTTCACCAAGGTATCTCTCACATTAGTCCTCCTCCACTGGTTGTATAATCATTCTATGCTTTAGATAACCTACCTTGACAGTATTCCTCCTTGCAAAACTGGAATACCAGGCCAGAGTTTCTGAGAATCTTGTCCATCTGCACAGAGTCCCTGAGGCAGAAACAGTCTTCCTGGAAAAACGTGGTTTATACTTTTCTGACCTGAGTTACATCTTTCCTCTTTTCATACTCAGGGTCCAATTTAAATCACAAAGGACAAGTGGGCACTCCACATACATCTATCACATTGCACTGAGTGACAGTATAGCTGATATGAGAGGTGACATTAAGCCAGTTCAATTATTCAAGAGACTTGGGGAACTTGAGTAGCACTGTAGCACGGTCCTCCCGTTGTTCATTGATTTGCTCGAGCGGGCCCAGTAACGTCTTCATTGTGACTTCTTGTTACTGTGTTTGACTTTTCACGGGTAGCTTGCCAGGCTTTGCCATGTGGGCGAGATACTCTCGGTAGCTTGCCAGGCTCTCTGAGAGGGGCGGAGGAATCGAACCTGGGAAGGCCGGGTGCAAGGCAAATGCCCTACCACTGTGCTATTGTGTCAGGATGGCGGAGCGGGAACTTGAGTAGGGCGGAATTAATACAGACCCTGGTAGAATGTCAGGGGTAAAAAGTATTTCTCTCACCTGAAAACAAAACATCAGCCAGGCTTCAACCAAAGGGAGAATTGTAATAGGCCAAAGCAAAAATTGTACCAAAAGCAGTGTAGAAAGTGGAGCAGATACTGAGTAGGGGGACAGATTCTGGTGGAGACATGGGACCTGCCATATTTCAGGACTGGTTTTTAGAAGAGTAAGTTTAAGAGGTAAGAGGACTGGAAGGCAGAGTTTGTCACATTTCTCCAGCTTGAGGTGAATGGGGAGTTCAGAGCTCCAGAGAGTAGTCTCCTGCTCAAAGGCCCCTATCTGCTTTAACCTCCTAAGCAATCTTTAAATGCAGCCTTTTTTTTTTTAATTGCCCTAAATCACCTGTCACCTATGAGTATTTTGTGTTATTTTTTTCTGATGGTTTCTAAGAAAAACTACCAGTTTTTTTTTCCTACTCTAGAAGTTCTTGGTAAGTGAAAAACTATACAAACCCATTTTCCAATCAGTGGAACGGACCCGAATCTTTCCATTCAGCAAAGGTGCAAAGTACAGAGGCCTATGTCTTAAGTCACTGTGGCAGGCAAAGTTAAAAGACATTTCTGGAAGAGCAATTTAAAAGAATGTTGACAAAGGCAGTAATAATGGACACTCAGGAGAAGCGAACTGAGGTGAACTGAGAAAAGGAGCTGCAGAGATTTGGTCTCAAATGGCAGTGGTTGCACAAGTGACTCAGTTGTTACACTTAGTGGCTGATTCCAAGGGAATTCAGATATACAAGAAGTTCATGCATGAACAGTTTAATAATGCTGGATATATCTGACCTCCCAGGCTACCATGAACTGTTTTCCAGGAAGCTCTTGTTAGAGACAGACATTGTGCATTAGACCCAGATCATGCTTCACCCTCTTCAGGTTGCTGCTGCCCACTGCTGCGACATGAGTACTGGAACAGCCAGAAAAGCCACTCAAAATGGACAGATACAACTAGCAGATTAAGGTTGTTGGGCTTCACAAAATTAAAGTCCATGAGGGAGAAATTACAATCTTCAGTAAGATCTTTATGAAAAGTCTCCTTATCTAGCATACAATATACACACTCCTCCTTGCTGTATTAACAAGGTGCAAACAGCTAACAAGTATATGGCTGACATTCACTAACAGCTTTGTGCTAAGCACACCTACATTTTCTCATTTATTAAAGCATAGAGAAATTTGAGAACTCACCCCATGGAGATATGTGTATTTAGAGGCGGAGAGTGTAAGGTGGGAGATGGGAAGACAGACACACAAAATCCCACTTAACTAGGTATGTATTAAATAGGTTCTCTGGAACTGAAGTCAGATGCATACTTGGGTAAGAAATTCAAAAGAAGTTATTATCACTCAGTGTATGTGACAATACATAAGAAATAGGAAGATAAGACTCCGTACACCCCAGGAATCTATCTCTTATTTCAAAAGAAAATTTCTTAGGGTTAACTGACCTTGATTCTTGATGCAGCTCTGAAATTCCTTGTAACTTTATAATTCTCAGCACTTCTCTCCTATAAAACTTCCTAAGAGGTGACTCTACCCACATTTTATAATCTCACACCTTTAGTTTCTATGAGATCATTCATTCAAGAACTCAAGTTTGAAACTCTAGAGTCCAGCTGTCCCATTATGCTTTGTAAGTCTAGAGGTAGTCTGGGTATTTGAAAAGGCATTGTTGGTGTTACATACCACATTACATACATATGCCTAGCAGAGAAGTACTAAGTAAGTTCAACTCACTACTACTAGGACAGGGCTCAGGAGACTGATTGTATTGGCTATTTCCTTCTACTGAAAGAGGGGCCACTAACTCCCCTGGCTTTTCTCATTCTTGCCCCATTGATAGGTAGTACTTGCAAACAAGCAGTACTTCTTTACTGGTCCCTGCACTGACAGAAAATGATGGGAGAATAGGAGTTTGCAGTCTCAGCATAAAAAGCCCAAAAAGCCACGCTCACTGGTAGCAGTACTTGCTTTTTCCATGAAAAGAAAATATTTTATCACTTATCTGCCAGGTGACACTTTGAATTATCTCAGAAAAGGAAGTCTCAGGGCATGGTCAGCACCTATTAAAGTGAATGTTCAGTACCCAGTAGCTCCTGATTGACTCTCTGGGGTCACTACTCAAATGAAGGTCACTAGGCCTTCATTTGAGATATACAGTCCTCCTTACTGTATTAACAGAGTCTACAATTTCCCAACTTCCTCCTCACCTAGCTCTAATGTAGGCACGTTTCTGTTGAAATTCAGTCTATGAAAACAAACAAACAAACAAAAAAAAACAGGGCACAGAAGAGATAAATTTCAGGTTTTACAGTCAATTCCAGGCCCCCCCCCCCAAAAAAAAACCCAAAAACCTTCTTCTTAAAAGCTTTTACATCAAAAATACACCCCCCCCCCCCAAGAAAAAAAGTGCCTGCCATAGAGGCAGGCAGGGGGTTGAGGGTCCTGGGAGAGATATTGGGGATATTGGTGGTGGGAAATGTATGCTGGTGGAGGACTGTGAGTTGGAACTTTGTATGACTGAAACCCTATCATGAAAGCTTTGTAACTGTGTATCTCATGGTGATGCAATAAAAAAATAAATAAATAAAATAAAAGCTCTGACAATCCTCATTGCCTCAGCTCATCTACATTTTGGCCCCTAAAGAACAACCACAATAGCTGTAAGGACCAGGGCCACTGGTGCTACTACTCAGCATACTCCACCCCACCTGTATTAAATAGTATGGTGGCCTCCTACATTAAAAAAAAGAAAAAAGAACAAAGAAAGAGGAAGAGGAAGGAGAGGAGGAGGAGGAGGAGGAAAAGGAAGAGGAGGAAGAAGGAAGAAGAAGACAGGGAGCAGCAGCAGCAGCAGCAGCTGTGCACTGAGATAGCAGAGCAGTGAAGGTGCTTGCTTTGCAAGTGGCTGACCTGGCTTAGATCCCTGGGACCCCATATGATCCCCTGAACTCTCCAGGAGTGATCCCTGAGTGCACAGGCAGGAATAAGCCCTGAGCACAGCTGGGTGTGGCCCCAAACACCCACAAAAAAATGCCAGACAAATATTCATATAACTAAAATTCTTACTATAAATTTTTAACTTTTAATTTATTTACATTTCCTCGAACCTAGAATGGTCCCAACTCCAAGATACAGATCTCAATTCAAAATATGCATTTTTTTGCTCAGCCAGGATATTAGGAATTCACATATACCCTTTAAAGAAAAATACTGCTACTTTAAAAGATTATAATATAATCTTTTTTCTATTGAAAATAGCCCACCTGTTCCCACCTGTTGTGGATCTGCCTTATGGGTAAGGTGAAGAAAGTAATCAGAATTGTTTGTTTTCCTTAGGCAGCCCCTAATTAAAACTCTGAAAACTAGGGGCCGAGGAACTTGCCTTGCACATGTTCAACCAGGTATGATCTCCAGTCTCCCATATGGTCACCTGAGCCTGCCAGGAATGATCCCTGAGCACAAAACCAGTCCTGAGTACAGCCAGGTGTGGCTCAAAGCAAACAAACTGAAAAAAATAAAAACAAACCCAAAAAACAAAAAACTCTAAAACATTTAAGTTTTATTCCTTTCCCCAGGTGGCAGTGATATTTTAGTTAACACATAAATACCCCATTCTCCAGATCTCCAATTCCTTGGCTCAAGTTCTCATCCCTTCCCTGAAGATTTCCCCATGTTTCACAGACTATAAAGCTGTGAGTACAAAAGCATGTAAAACCCTCCCACTCTCAACCGGTAAAGCCCTATCTTGGGAATTACACTTACATTTATTTATATTTTAATTTTACATAGACAATGAAATCAAGTATAACTGGGTATCATATGTAAATACACAGCTTTGTTAAAATCCACAACAGTATGTATACCCTCCCCTTCATGCTCACATCCAGATATGCACAGTCTTGTCCTCCAGCACCCGCATCAATCACCTAGGCTACCATAGTGGCTTCAACAACCACTGCAGACTCCAAGCACAGCTTCTCACACCCATCACACCTCTTTCAGAGAACAATAAAGCTTCAGCTCTCCAACAGCTCCATCCATCCTCACATAGTTCACAATCCCCGTTGTCACAAACCATGAGCCACCTTCACAGCATTCTTAATTTTCCTCCTCCCATGGCCATGTTCACCTCCAGAGGAGTCCTTCCTGACCAATTCAGCAAAAGAAACCTCCATAAACCAAATAAACCAAGTCTGTTCTTCCCCCTTTCTCTGTATTGATCTCTTTCACCTTCTTTCTCCCTGGACAAGGAAAATAAACTTGACTATTAAACAATATTTTATTTAAAGAGGGGCGCGCGCGCGCACACACACACACACACACACACACACACACACACACACACACACAGAGGCCTATGCATGCATGCACACATGCTCATGTTCCACTCTTTCTTCCCCCATCCCTATCCACCTCAAATCTGTGATTCAGAGCAAAGCCATCTGGCAACATCCTCTCGTATAACTGATGGCAGCAAAAGCTAGGTAGAAGCTTTGTCAAGATCCCACTTTTCAGCCTTAAAGATGAGACAGAAGGACTGGCTTTCCCAAGGCAACCAGATCTTATGTGTTTTCTCCACCTTTATCCCCAAACACATCCTAAGAGCAACAGATACCTAGAGTTGTTCCCTGTGGACAGTGTGGCACCGCAGGCCAATCCCTGGCATTAGAGAAAGCCTGACAACGAGACCTGTGCCTTCCCCAAGAGATTTAGATTAGGTATGGTATAGTTGGGGAAGAACAATGAGAGCAGTTAAGCACCAATTTCCAAATACTCCCTGCAGGAAGGTGCTTATCTTCGGTCTAGGAACTCCACAGCAGAAACGGAAGGGATCTCAACCATCAGAAAACACAACACTAAATCTCTATACATTTAATCTTGTTAGGTTTCTACTAGCACCCTGGGCAATGTTAAGGGCCCAGTCTAGCTGGGCCATTGCCTTACTCACTGGAGACTATTTGGAGATGGTGGTACCGTAAAACTGACAGTGGGGTTGAGGATTCACTACTCTTGACACTGGCACCCTTCGAGCCCTGCCTTAAGATACACAGAGGACAGTGGCTTAGGTCATGAAAAGCATGTTTTTAAAAGAGTACTGTCTTCCAGAGAACACAATCTTATAGTACATCTAAATGTTATAAAAGGACCATTTGGGACCGAAGACAAGGCATAGGGCACCAGAAGAGGTCAGCAGCATCTCCAGGGCCCCTACTAGAGAAGAAAATGGGAGGACTAGTACTACAGAAAGGCATTTGTTCATAAATTCAGGATGGGGCTGAGATGCCAAGAAGCCAAGCCTTCTCTGATGGCTTCCATTTGCCTTCTAAAACAAGTTCCCTGAGGGAAAAAGCCAGAAAGGTGAGAGTTATCAGAAAGAGTACAGCAAAGGGTTTCTGACTGTGAGCAGTCAGCAGCTGAAGAGATGTGTGAACCAGAGACAAGCCTTCTGAAGAGATCTGACCTGATCTCTTTGAGGTAAGCAAGGACCAGAGCAGAGCAAACTAGAGACTGATACAGCCCTGTGTAGGCTGGTAAGACACAAACTAGTTTCCCTAAGTGTAGGGCTATAGGCTGACACTGCGCTGATGTCGGCCCCCGTGGCTTCCACTGTAGCTACCCCGATGATCGCCACTCTGATGATCAATGTCCTGGCCATCCAGACTGGTATGATCTGAGAGACCCCGCAGGTGTTCCACAGAGTCACACTTCTGCAAGTCAGACGCCACAGTGCGCAGGCTCAGCAGGCTCAGGGTGTCAGTGTCCAGGTTAATACCCTCCTCCAGGCCCCCTCCCTGAGCCCCCTCCATAATCCCACTGTCCCCCTCCTCGCCTCCATCAGGCCCAGCTTCAGCTCCTACAGGAGAAGAGCGCCGCTGGCCTGGAGGGTGAGGGGAGAGGCCCCGGCGCCGTGCATGAATCTGTTCACTGATCTGCTCCAGGTTGCGCAGGGCAACTGAATAGCGAGTCTTGGCCTGGGCCACCTGCTGCTCCAGCTCTGTCACCTTGGCCTTGTGCTCCTGCAGAGGAAGGGACAAAGTAACCCACCAGGCAATTCTTCACAGCCCTTGGAGATGGCGGATCCTGTCAGCCCGATTTAGCACTCTTACAGCATCAGCCTTCCCAACTAACAGAGACCTGCAGTACCTCACGGCACCCCACTCACCTCCTTTTCTTCCTAGGTCCCCCCTTCGCCAGCATTCCTATCCTGCTCCTGACCTACATTAAACATTCTAGATCTTTCTCCCTGGTGTTCATTCCCATATACTCCTCTTCTTCCTATTTTTCCCTCTCCCTGTCTAGATAGTTCTCTCCCCCATTCATCCTGATGTCCCTCATTCTCACTTTCAATCTTGTTTACGTCCCACTTACTGTACCTTGGGGGGGGGGGGGGGGGGGGATTGGGGCTCCTGAGCAGTGCTCAAGGTTTCTACTGCCACTCCCAGGCAACTGGTGGGCAGTACAGCCCAGGTCAAGCAGTGTTGGGGTCACTAAGCCCTAACCCAGTGGGGCTCAGGAGGCCATGCAGTGCTGGAGAAAAACCCAGGCCTTACACATGCAAAGCATGCACTCTATCCCTCTAAGTATCCCAGCACCAATCCCAACCCCAACCCCACCCTCACTCTACAGGGCTATACTGAGTACATGTATTTTTCATTGGTGTGAAGAACAGCCCCGAGTAACATGTCCCCACCCAGTCCACCCATCCTCCCATCTCCCTCTCAGTTACCTCTAGAATCTGGCTGAACTGCGCCTTCAGCTCAAAGTAAGGACGACTCTTGCCAATGGCCCGACGGAGGGTCTTCTGTAGGGCCTGGACTCGAGCCTCAGCCTGCTGGCACAGTCGAGTCACTCGCTGATGCTCCCGCTCACCACGAAGCCTCTCCTCCTCTGCCTCATTTACCTAGCCCAGGTAGAGGGCAGGAGATATATCACTGAGCTGGAACCATCATCTCCTCATCTCCTAGCCCTGTCATTTTTCCCAGGCTGCCATCCCTACTATACCCTGAGGTGCTCTCCCCAGACTGTAGACGACATGGCACAGTGAGTCCCTGACCTGCTTACACACTCACTCTGTTGCTGCTAGGAGAGTGGGCTAGGCTTCTTTACTACATATGAGGGTATGGGGCAGCTCCAGAACTACAACAGTCACAGTCGCTGTGCTTGGGAGCTTCATGAGCTGAGGGTGACAGGATGGAAAAAGCCCCAATAAGGAAGCCAGAACTCTGCGCTGGGTTCTCTAGGTGTCCCCACTGGAGCAGAGTGCAGGTGAGAGCTTCACCACAGCAGGCAGCTATCCTAACCACATTGTGGGCAGATAAATATTAGAACCTGTCATACATTGCAAAAACAAAACTTCACCACCAATTCCTGAGTCTTATGCTCTACTTCTGTGAGCTACGTACAAGTAGAGCTGCTGTGAAGCGTGACCAAGGAAAACACCAAAAAGTACCAAACAGGGCCCTCCCAATAGAATAACTAGATTAAGAGCATTCCCACAAAATTTACAAACTGCAATTCTAGTCCCAAGTTTCCCAAACTTAGTTGGCCTCCCTTTTCAGGAGAAAAAACAAAATAACAAAAAACAACCTCATTGCCCCACTAAATCTCCAACTTCTTTAAGTGAACAAACCAAACCCAATTACATCCCAAACTACTTCTGTTCCACTGGATAATTTCAGTTACTTCCCCTCCCCAGTAGGATGTAGTGCCTACTATGAAAAAACTGTCCCAGACCCTCAAGTGGACATACTGGAGGTGGAGCCTCTGAGAGGTAATTAACTATGAGAAAGAACCTCTCATAAGTGGGATTAGTGCCCTTATGAAGGAGGTCTATTCTCACTTCTTGTAATAGGAAAAAAAGTGAGAAGACAGAGGGAAGTATACTCTCATCAGACACTAAATCTGCCTGTGCTATCATTTTAAATCTTACCAGTCCTCAGAATTGTTATTACTTTTAAACAGCCAGTGGACCAGTCTTGTCCTTGTTTCTGTTTTGGTGCTCCCCCAGCAGTGCTCAGGGTTTATTTCTGATTTTGTGCTCAGGGATAGCTCCTAGCTGAACTTGGGGATACTAACTGAGGTGCTGGGTATTGAATCTGTGTTGGCCATGTGCAAGGCAAGCACCTCACCTGCTGTACTATCTCAAGGTTAGGAGGGAAGAGTAGAGCTAATACCAGGGCTCTTCTTGATCCCCAGTCCCCTTGGGGTTTACTAATAATACAAAAATTCTTCTTCAACTCAAAATCAAAAAAACATAGAACATTCTGAAAACAGAACTGAGGTCACAGCTAACCACAACAAAATGTAATTACTTGAATATAGCATGTCCTGTAAGTCTAGTCCCACATCTGGAGGTAAGGGTTGAAGAAGAGATGCCCAGCAAGTTTTATTAAGTGATATGGAAATATATTTGAGAAGCACTGGAGGTCAAATAGGGCTGAGACCAATAAATAGGCTTTGCCTGAAACAAGAGTCAAAACTGAAAGGTGGAAAGAGGAGAAAGAGTAAGAAGGTTGACAAGATGAAGAGACTGCAAAGAAGGTACCAGAAAGACTGTAAAGGACCTGCTGGTATGGCCCAGCTCACCTTGCAGGTGGCATGGTTGAGCATCTCCTGCCATGTGGGATCCAGCCGGTTCTTGTCAGCCATAACACCCTGCTCGGCCACAAACACCATCTCCCTGGCAGCATTGTGCATGCTCACAGCCCGTTCATAACGTAGTGCTGCTTTCTGTGTCTCTTGCTGGGCCTGAAGGGAGAAGACCATAAGGATAAGGAACTGCCAACTTCCCCCAGAGACCATCTTGGGTAAGGACAAGGGTGAGAGGAAGACCCATGACAATGTCCCCTGCACTACCCAGGCTGCTCTAAGGATCAATGTTGAGAAAGCAACATTCTATACAGTTTATTAAGGCTTCAGTCTTAATTAAGAATTGCTAAATGTAGAAATACAGATTTAAAAAAATGACATCACCAGTGCAGGATGAGTGTATAAAATCTAGCACTCTCCAAAGCATCTGGTCTTGGTTAGGTAGGGCACACTGCTAACCCAGGTTCAATCCCTGGCACCCTATATGCCCCCTAAGAGCCCATAGGCAGTGATTCCTGAGTGCAGAGCCAGGACTAAGTCCAAAGCACTGCTAGTGTAACCCAAAAACAACAAAAAAAAATGTTGGTCTTTTGTCCTAGGGAGAATATAGGGAAGGTGATTTGCAACGTTGAATCAATCTTATAGAAAATTCACCCCTGACATCATAAAGTCTGGTGCGGGGGGGGGGGGGGGGGGGGGGGCTGAAGAAATCAGACAATTTTACTGATACTCATCATAGCCATGCTTATCCAAAAACAAACAGAGAACATGGAGGAGGGGAATCATGCAATGGATACAATGGATAAGGAACTTGCCTTGCACACTCAACTTGGGTTCAATCACTGGAATCCCAGATGAACCCTGAGCTCTGCCAGGAGTGAGTCCTGAGCACAAAGACATGAGTAAACTCTGGGCACCACTGGTTGTAGTGTGACCCCTGCCCCTCCCCAAAAGAAAAAACATGAAATAAAAAGGAAAACAAAAATAAATTCTAATCCAAGGTAAATTTTTAAAATTTCATCATCAATTTTAAAAATTGATGTTATGGAGGTGACAGAGATGGCTCAATGAGCTAGAACACACATTGTACCTGCAGGAGGCCCAGTATCAATATCCAGTCTGCAAGGCCGCCTGAGCACTGCCAGGAGAGACCTCACAGTACCACCGGGAGTAGTTTAAAAAACAAAGAAGTGTGCGCGCGCGTGCGTAACAAATATCTTTATTGACATGGAACCATATCAATTAAATAAAATAAAGGAATAAAAATAGCAAAAAATGGATCAGAAATGTGGCCCTGAAATAGTGCATGCAATTATGTGTCCAATTCCTGGCACTGTAGAGAAAAAAGAAATCTAGTATGAAATTTCTGCTTTTTTGGGTCACACCTGTGTGCTCAGGACTTACTCTGTGCCCAGGGATCACTCTTGGCAGTGTTTGGGAGACCATATGCAGTACTGAGGATCAAACAGGGACAGAAGTCTGCACAGTAAGCAAGCACTTTAAGCACTATCTCTGTGGTCCCAAAATCTGATAGAAAATACACCTTCAAATATTAAGTCTTATGTGCTATATTAATCACAGTTCTTGATTTACTGTATTTTATGATACTCTGATCTCTTTCTCATCTCTCACCTCTCCCTTCTCCTCCCCCATTCCTCTACCCATCGCACTGTGAGTACTCTGTTCTGGTCTTTTCTCCCAGAGATCATTCTTAGTGGGCTCAGGGTATGGGGCTCAAACCCAGGTTGGCCACATCCAAGACAAATGACCTACCCTCTGTACTATCACTCCTCCCACTTCCCCTACCATACTTTGATCTTTTGGGTTCCATTTCAAATTTCCCAGACATAGCAAATTCTTAAAGTAGGTAAACTCTGTAAGCACAACTTTCCTAAACACATAATCATCCAAATCTTACCACCTCTTTTCTCTACGTCACACATCAGAGAGTACTTCTCCAGCACTAAAGGACATCAGGGTCAAGAAACAAAAAGCTAGAGATCATTCCAGAGTCCACTATTCAAACTATCCAATCCTAATTTTGTTTAAAGTTGCTTATCTTGTCTTATACAAACAATAATTAAAAAAGTGAGGGGCTGGAGTGATAGCACAGCGGGTAGGGCATTTGTCTTGCACGCAGCCGACCCGGGTTTGATTCCCAGCATTCCATATGGTCCCCTGAGCACTGCCAGGGGTAATTCCTGAGTGCAGAGCCAGGAGTAACCCCTGTGCATCGCCAGGTGTGACCCAAAAAGAAAAATAAAAAAATCAAGGAGGCTAATATAAGCTTTCTCCTCTTGCCTTCTAATCAGCCCAGCTACTTTTCCAAGTGGTCTGTATGGACTGGCATGCATGCTCCCTTATGCTTCCTTCCTTTTAGGAACTCTATGTAATGAACTCTTTCAATGCTGTCATCACTATCTGTCGGCTCATGGCACTTGACTTTACATCCAAGGACAAAAATTTTGAATATGCACATAGCATGACTTGCAGAAATCTTGCTTTTCTTGCCCTCGCTATTTTTGCTTTACAGCTTTAGTTATAATTAGGTTTATAGTAGTGAATCTACATTATTTATATAAATAAAAAAAAGGGGGAGGAGAATGGTAAAGCACAGAAGAGGTAAATAAAATAAAGATGCACATGAATCAAAGGGAAGGGAGAAATAACAAAGGGTCTTTCAGAGACAGAAAAGCTAGCCAAACCTCCTTAGCTAGTCTCCGAGCCTCATAATAGGGACGGGCCTTCTCAATACAGTTCCCTAAGTGGGAACCCTGTGTATTCAACTTCCTTGCTGACTCCTGTAGGATCCTCCGATAGGTGGTTCTGGCCTCCTAGGAAAGGAATGAGGATGTTACAGACAGAATACACAAGAAACACTGAGGGGCTGATGCAATAGAATAGAATAGAGTAGTAACTCGGATTCAAGCTCTGGCATCCTACAGGTTGTTGTCCCCGCCCCCAACCCTCTCCCTCCCCTGGAGTAATTCTGCAGAGTCAGCAGAGTCAGGAGCAACCTTTGAGAAGGCTGGATGTGAGATAGAAAGCAAGCAAGCAGGAAGGGAGGGAGGGAGGGAGGGAGGGAGGGAGGGGGGGTAGAAGGGAGGGATGGAGGGAAAGAAGGAATGGAAACTGGAAGAGAGGAAGAAAAGGAAGGGAGGGAGGGAGGGAGGGAGAAGTAGAAGGGAGAGGTGGGGAGGGGAGAGGAGGGGAAGCAGAGGGAAGGAAGGGGAAGGGGATGGGAAGAAGAAAGGAGGGAAGGAGGGAAAGAAGGGAGGGAAGGAAGGAAGGGAAAATGTAAGGAAGAGAGGAAGATAAAGGAAGGAAGGGAGGGAGGGAGGGAGGGAGGGAGGGAGGGAGGAGTAGAAGGGAGAGGTGGGGAGGTGAGAGGAGGGGAAGGAAGGGGAGGAAGGGGAAGGGGATAGGAAGAGGAAGGGAGGGAAGGGAGGGGAGGGGAGGGAGGCAGGCAGGCAGGCAGGCAGACTAATAACCCTGATATTTCCTCAAGGACAAGAGGAAAGAATGCAACTCACATCCAGCTGTAGCTCCACCTGGTTGATCTCTTCACTGGCCTGATTCAGATGTTCCAGCTCCTCCTAAGGAGAAGAAAGAGCAGTAGAAGGACATTACTTTAGGTGAACTGGTGGGATAGGAGTGCACTACAGGAAGAAAAACCAACACAAACAGCAAAGGAAAGACATGAAAAGGGACAGTGAAATATCTTCTATTGGAGATCAAACATATGCAGTCAGCTACAATCCTCATAGCACCACCCTCCTGTGGCAGGTAGTAGGTTTGGAGAAAGGAATGCTCATATGCACACAGTCAAATGAAAGCAAGTCAGCTCTCTCCCTCAGACTGCACTGCCAGAGTGTGAGTATGCTCACAGTCTGGCAGTGCAGTCTGAGGGAGAGAGCTGACTTGGGCAGGAGTCGCCTCAGAATACAAGTCTGTTTCAGAGAGAACAAGTCCCCGGGCACATATTTACCACACACATCACAGTTCAGCACTGTAAAACCTGATAATCCCAGTGGTCTATTAGTAAGTAGCAGACCCTGCTGATATTAAAAACTATGTTAGGGAAGGGCAAGGTGAGAGTCAAAGTGTAGTTGGCAGCAGCAGGCCAGGGTAGGGTACTCAAAGCACTTACTACCAGGCCAGGAAATTAAAGCAGAGCAAGTATCTGGGGCAGACAGGTTGTCAGGAGAGAAACAAAAGAGGCTGAGCATAGGGGAGGGCATATTCGATTTTCAAAACAGTAGAGGTTGGAACCCGTTGGAGTTTTGTAGCACTTGGTCTCTATGCAAGACACAAAGATCTCAGCATTATGGCAAAAGATAGAGAGGTCATGAACACAAAAGCAGAGGCTGTCTGAACTTCTCAAGGCGGGAGAAGAAAGGGTCGATCCCAGAGAAAGACAGGACACAGAAGCATGAGGACGAGATGCACAAGATCTCTTCCACTAACCCAAGGAACCACAAATAAAAGACATTTCTTAGGGAGAAGATGCCAGAAACATGGAACCAGTTCAGCCCTTTCATCAGGGCTTCTAAATGGGATGGCAGAGAGCAGGGAGGTAATTACTGACCTCAAATACCCTTTCGTGGCCTTTCTTAACCAAGCTCTGGGGGCTTCGAGACCAACAATTGAAGAACACTTTAAAAGACGAGTAATGACTGAGAAAATGCCTGTGTTTAGCTCGCTACCGGACCCTCCTTCACGAGTCCTTTGTCCCTAAACAGGACAATAGGATTTAGCTTGGTATCCACTCCTGTCAATACCAATAGAAAATATGTACTTGGCAGAAACAACACTATTGCTGGCTCCCATTCACCTCTTCTAACAACCCAACATATCATGGCACTTTAGTTTTTTTAAGTCTCTGCTCTTCCTCATGCCCAAAAATATTTGGGTCAAGTGAAAATCAGGAATCAAAGTTATATGTCCTAATTAAAGTAGCACTGCTGTAGCACTGTAGCACTGTCCTCCCGTTGTTCATGGATTTGCTTGAGCGGGCCCAGAAACGTCTCCATTGTGAAACTTGTTGTTACGGTGTTTGGCATACGAATACGTCACGGGTAGCTTGCCAGGCTTTGCCGTGTGGCAAAATACTCTCGGCAGCTTGCAAGGCTCTCTAAGAGAGGCAGAGGAATCGGACCCGGGTCGGCCTCCCTGACCACGTGCAAGGCAAACGGCCTACTGCTGTGCTATGGATAGCTCCAGCCACTTAAAGTAAAAGAAACAAAAAGAAATAAACATATAAGAGAACCAGGAACAGCTTGTTCTTCAATTTTGTGTTCTCCCTTGAGAAACAATCAAGAACATTTATCTTGCTTGATTGTTTCTCTCTGCTAGCCTTTTCTACTCTGGAAAACCAGTGTTCTCTCTTAAGCAGATATTTCCCCTCTTTTTCTCCTCTCACATCTTTCTAAGAAAATTTTGTACAAGAAAAATTATCTTGCTTCACAAGGAAAAAAAAATCCTACAACAATGTGAATCCCGACTTTAAACTTTTCAGGAAAAAAAAAAGCTAACCAAAAAATAATGGGATCTCTAATAAACAGAATCAGAAACAAAAGTGGGGTTGTCACAAGAGAAACCAGAAACTGAAAGGATCATCAGAAAGTACAGAGAGTCTTTATGCCACAACACAAAACCTAGAAGAAATAGATAAATTCCTGGACTCCTATAAACTTCCAAGGCTGAATCAAGATAATCTGGAATAGCAGAACAGTTGTATCACTAATGATAAAATTAAAGTCGTAATCAAAAGTCTTCCCAGAAACAGAAAGCCCAGGGCAGTCCAGAGGGATTCACTAGTGAATTCTTTCAAAGCTTTGAAGAGGACCCACTGCCAAACCTTTTCAGGATCTTCTAGGAAACTGAAGAAACAGAACACTCCTAAACAGTTTCTATGCAGCAAACGTCACCCTGATCCTGATACCAAAAGCAAACAGAGACGCAGAGAGAGAGAGAGAGAGAGAGAGAGAGAGAGAGAGAGAGAGAGAGAGAGAGAGAGAGAGGCAAAGATCCCCAAGAAAATATTAGCTAACAGAAATCATATACTATGACAACTCATCAAAAAGATCATATACCATGACCAAGTAGGATTCAGCCCAGGGATACAACAGTGGTTTAACAATCAACGTAGCACTGTAGCACTGTCCTCCCGTTGTTCATCGATTTGCTCGAGCGGGCCCAGTAACATCTCTATTGTGAGACTTGCTGTTACTATGCTTGGCATATCAAATACGTCACGGGTAGCTTGCCAGGCTTTGCCGTGCAGGCGAAATACTCTCAATAGCTTGCCAGGCTCTTGGAGAGGGGCGGAGGAATTGAACCCGGGTCAGCCGGGTCAGCCACGTGCAAGGCAAACACCCTACCTGCTGTGCTACCGCTCCTGCCCAATCAACATAAGACACAATCAATAAATGAAAAAATAAAAATCGTATTATCAAATCAATAGACACTGGAAAGCATCTGACAAGATCCAGCACTCATCCATGATAAAAAACACTCAACAAAATGGGAATTAAATGAACTTTTCCTCAATATAGTCAAAGCCATGTAAACAAGCCCACCCCAAACACTATACTCAATGGGGTAGTGGGGGACAGGGTGAAGGACCCAGAGCACTCCTTCAAGGATCAGGCACAACACCAGACTACCCTCTCTCATCACTTCTAATCAATATGGCACCAGAAGTACTCACCATTATCAATTAGGTAAGCGAAAGAAATCAAAGGCATCAAATAGGAAAGGAAGAAGTCAAGCTCTCTCCTTATTTGGGGATGACATGATACTAGAGTTAGAAAATCCAAGACTCTACAAAAAGCTCCTAGAAACAACAGCAAAGAGGCAGTCTACAGAATTAATCAGCAAAATTCCATGGCTTTCTTATATACAAATAATGAAAGAGAAGGAAGAGATATTTTAAAAACAATCTCATTCACAACTGTAACTCAGAAAATTAAATACCTCGGAAGCAGCCTAACTAAAGAGGAGAAAGAATTATACAAAGAAAACTACAAAACACTAATCTAAAAATAAAGGAGGAGATGAGGAAATGGAAACATACCCCCTGCTCATGATATGTGAGGATTAATATCATTAAATCATTTGAGGTAAACACCTCAAAGCATTGTACAGATTTGATACAGTCCCTATAAGGACACCCATGCTGAAACATCACTGAACAAGCAAGTGGAAGCAAATATAAACAAATGGGACTGCATTAAACTAAGGAGTCTACACCTCAAAGGAAATGATAAGCAGTATATGAAGACAGCCTAAAGAAGGAGAAAACTTTCCCCAATATCCATCTGATAAGGAGTTAATATCAAAGATATATTTGGTACTGGTAAAATTTTACAAGAAAAAAATCTCTACCCCATCAAAAAATTGGCAGAGACAAACAGAAACTTGAAGAAAAAATTCAAATGGCTAAAAAGCACATGAAAAAATGCTCTACATCACTAATCATAAAGGAGATGAAAATCACAACAACAATAAGGTATTATCTCACACCACTGAGACTGGCACACATCCAAAAGAACAAGAACAACCAGTGCTGGTGCAGATGAGAAAAGATAGGAAGGAACTCTCATCCATAGCTGATGGGAATGTCAACTAGCCCCGCCTTTTGGGAAAACAATATGGGAATCCCTCAAAAGACAAAAAATTGAGCTTCCACATGGCCCAGCAATACTGCTGCTGGGAATACACCCTGGGGGCCCCAAAACACAAGCCAGAAAATCCATCTTCAATTCTATGTTCATCGCAGCATTATTCACAATAGCCAGAATACGGAAACAACCCAAGTGCCTGGGAACAGATGACTGCATAATGAAACAATTGCATATCTACACAATGGAATACTATGCAGCTGTTAGGAAAAATGAAATGTAAAATTTGCTTATACATGGACGGACATGGGGATTATCACACTAAATGAAACGAGACAGATGGAGAGAGACAGAGACAGACAGAGATTTGCGGGATTAAAAAAACAAAAACAAAACAAAACCATAGTATGAGAATAATACCAAAGAGAGTAGAATGGAGGGTAAGGAGGATTGGTCCATGGTAGGAAGCTTGCCACAATTGGAGACAGGGGGTGGTGGTGGAATGTAATTACAACAGAGAAGGAACCACTATGAGACTATGAAAATGAGACCATGAGAATAACTCTAAACAAAAACTGATTTTGTTTTTAGTAAAGGAAGTAAAGTGATATAAATAGCCTAAAATGGGAAAAAGAGGGAGGTTGAAGAGAAGTGTCTGTCAGAGAGGCAGGCTTGGGCAGGGGCAGGAGGGAAACTTGGAGACACTAGTGGTGGGAAATGTACATTGGTAAAGGGATGGGTGTTGGAACATTCATTGTATGATTGAAACCCAATCATGAACAATTTCATAACTGTATCTCATGGTGATTCAATTTTTTTTAAGAACTTAGGGATCTCATATGGAATTTTTAATTTTCTAGCAATCACATTTTTAAATAAAGCAAAAGCAAATAAAAATTATAAGAATATATATTTCGCTGAACACAATACAGCCACAAGATTATATTTCAACGTGCTAACACTTTCTTTGATTTAACTACAATTTTCAAATCATAAATTTGGTCCTTCATGGCATATTTCAACGTGGCACATGGGCTTCCCATACTGTGATGTATAATGGGAAACCTGAGTAGTTAACCTTGAGTCGTAAGACAAGAAGCCAATCTAGAACCACATGCTCCAAATATGCTAGAAGAAATCAAGCGGTAGCAACCAATGCAGTATCTTCAAACAAGCTGATTATCCTGACAGACCCTCACAAAAAGCCATACCTTGTCAAAATAAGAGGCAGTATCTTTCTCTGTGGGAACAGCTCCCCCAGCTCAACTTGGCCTACTTGAGCTTCAAAATATCTGGGAGATAAGATGAACTGGTACTTTTAGCAGCTCTCACTAGAATTTTCTTAATTCATATTGCTAAAAAAGAAAAACTGAGGTGAGGAAATCAGGGACAAAATACTATCTAGGACCCAATCTACTACTTATTATTGTAAGAATATCCCTGAATAGACCTCAGAGAAAACAGGCATACACCTATGAAAATCACGGCTATATTAGAAACAACAGAATAAGAGCAAGACAAACATTGATTCTGGGAAAGAAAAGAGGGGGTGGGTAAAGGTCACTCTACAATAATCCTGTTGGAGAAGATCCAGTGGTCCATAAATCCCGGTTCTAAGACCCAAAATGTTCTCAGTCCTTAAAGGTATCACCAGAAGAAGGAATCACCACTTGAAAAAGGATGGGAAGAATTCTAGCTACTACCCAAAACCAATGTGGACATTATCTTTCTATATGCTAACTCACACCCACATGATTGCTCCACAATTATAATCTTCTGTAAATGTCTGTCCCTGTACTCAAAGGTCTTTCTCCTAGGACAAAGAATGAAGAGCAGAGCAAGCTAGAGAGAAAGAAATTCTGGGGAAAACAACCAGGTCAGAGGAGTCCTGTCAAAGTTTGGTGGAATACTATACCACACCAGAGCTCTGTTTGGGGCAGTTGGCAACACAGTCCATTTGCTTTATTCCATAAGAGATCCCTGGCACTTGGCTGAAATGGAATTCAAGAAGGATGAAGTCTGAGTCAGCATGCATCATCCATTCAGTGTGCAGTCAGCAAGTAGAGTGACCTTCCTGAATCATGCATTTCCTGGATGCCAGAACACTTCAACCACAGATATGGATGCTCAAGGCTACTGATGCTCCCACAGGTCTCCTACAGGTCACCAGTAACTCATGGTGGTGGTGGTAGTGGTGGACACCAAAACCAAAATCAACACACTGTAAACACATAAATCATATACTTTTCAAAAACAGTGAGTGAATTTATCATCTTAACTGAGGAATAAATAGATCTGCAAAGGAAGTAGAGAGTAACAGGGAAATAAATACGGACCCTCCAAGTGACATCCTTTTTTTCTTCCTCTAAAACCTTCTCACTAAACGGAAGTCTTAGAGAACAAGGAGAACCAGCCAATGGTCTTCTCTAGGGGACAGCACACTCGAGACAGCTAGGATCTAGTTTCTTGCCAATTTATAGCAGGATTTGACACACAAAAAAGAGAATACAAGTTTCCTGCCTGTGAAGAAACACTATACACCAGGTTAGAAAATTTCACTCTAATGACAGCCATATCTGGGAATTCCTGGGGCATACCTTAACAGGGTCTCTGCTTTGGGGGATGTCTTTGGCCCAGTGGACTTACCAAACTTCCTGTCAGAACCAGTTTTTGCTCCACCCAGACCGGCAGAATTCACCTATCTGGGTGGAGCGCAGAGTCTGGTATTTTTAAAGCTCCATAATGGGTTCTGATGGATCTGTGGGTAGAGACCCATGGATGTACTGAGAATCCAGAGAAATAAACATCCACTTAATTCTGAAGGTGTTATCAAGATAATCCAGTCTTGCGCACTGATAACACCAAAAGAAACCAAAAGAAATCAAAAGACATTCCTCTTCATCCAGAAGAGCCCACACTCAGAAGACCTGAATGCCACAAGGCTCCTTTCTGAAGCCTGCCTCTCCCTAATAGTACAATAGTGAATTCCAAGGAGACTATGTCATCAGCACACCTAGAGACCCAGCACCCTCAGGTTCAGGAATATGTCATAGAGAATGACCATAACAGATACAACTCCAGAAACACATCAGTCTAACCTACGGGTCTAAGCTTGATGCCCAACCTTCAAAAGACATGGGTTCACCTTTATGTGAATGTCCTGGGGATGCAATAGTAAAGTGAGAAAAGATTCAGAGGCTTCTCCTGTTCTACTCACCCACATCTCTGGGCCAAGTGCCTCTCTGCTTGTTTGTAAAGAACTACTTAATCTCCACTGCCCTAAAGTGTGCTCCCTGTATTTGTTGACAATTTATTGCTTCACTTCTTCAGTAATCTTCAGCAACATATCACTTAGACTGGGCTTTTCTCTGCATTTTCCAATATGCAATCCTTTTAGCACGAACTGTTGTGCTAAATCAATATATATATACACATATGGCCGACCCGAGTTCGATTCCTCCGCCCCTCTCGGAGAGCCCGGCAAGCTACCGAGAGTATTCGATATGCCAGACACAGTAACAACAAAGTCTCCAATGGAGACGTTACTGGGCCCGCTCGAGCAAATCGACGATCAATGGGAGGGCCTTTACCTTTACCTTTACCTTATATGTATAGTTGATATAGAAAGACATCTATAGATATCTATATCTATGCATATAGATATATATCAAAGATTTTGGTGACAAACTTAATTTGCTTTCCCATGGCAGTGTACTAGAGAAAATAAGTCTAATCCCTTAATCATCTGGCAGCTCTTCAGGTAAACTGAACTCTGTCATTCCCTGCTAAATCCTCTCACCTGTATTCTAGGGTCCAGTTCTTCTTCCTCTCTTGGGGATAATTTGGCTTCGTTGCTGTTGCTTCTGCCTCTTTGGGGCTCCTCTGCTACTGGACTCCGCCTAAGCTCATCCTCTACAACCTCAGGTCGAATCTCCCCCTGAGGGGTTTCTCGCCCTCCTGGAACCTCCCTGAGCTCAGCCATGCTGCTGGGGAGAGGGCAGAGCCCTTCTATGCACAAGGGGGGAGTGACATGCTGGGACCAGTTCCCAAACGCGGGTGTTCCTTGTTCTAGGTAACAAGAAAGATCCCACTTTTTAGAGTGAAGGAAGGGGGCAAAAAAAGAACCTCACACTCTGTTAGGGGCAGAGATTTAAGCCGTCAGTGAGGTTCACAAAAATAACGCCTTGTGTGGGCAAAAGTTCTTCAGTCTCTGTGGAGAGTCTACCAGGAAGGAGCCAGAGCAACAGCTCGGAGGCAGGGGGAAATAGGGGCCTGGGTCTTAGGCCAAGGCCTGCAAAGAGGAGCACCATTCGGGAGGGCTGAAGTCTCCAGGCTGTGGCGGCAGCTGGAGAGAGAAGGCTGAGCCCAAACAGAGGCTGCTGAATTAGAGTCTCCAGAAAGCTGCAGAAGAAACAAGAAAAAAGAAAAAAGGCCAAGTACTTGGTCACTATCAAAATATTGGTCACCATTTCCTTCCAACCCTTCAGTCTCCCAAGAACTCCCTGACCACCCGCCCCATACCCCGCGCCCCCAGGCCAGCTTAACTTCTTTCCTCAGGATACAAGGGCTTGAGCTCCCACTCCTCCCGCAAGTTCCAGCTCCGCTCGCTCCAGTCGCTTCCCGATCCGCGACTTCCAGACTACCCTTCCCTGCTCGCAACCCAGGTTCTCTCGCCCGCCAGACTCCACCCGCGCCAGGCTTTGCAGTTTACCTGGTTACTCCAGTCCCCGCCTCAACTCCTCTTCTCTCAGCAACCCAGCAGACCATTTGAACCTTTCGTCTCCAGCCCCACATTCTTCCACAATCCTACAGCCTCTGCCCCCGGGCATGTTGCACAGACGGGAGCAGAGGCCCGGCGTCAAGCCTTACCGTGCTCAGGCTGGGAGCAGAGCTCCTCACGCCGGCTTGCTCCCTCCTACCCGCAACAAGCCAGTCCAACCAGGCGCCCCGGCCAGGGAAAGCGGAAATGCGTCACGCGGTGGTAATACCCTCCCGCCTGAGCCCCGCCTTCGCATCCGGCTCCGCGCCGGGCCGCCCGCCTTGGGGTTCCGTACGGAAATGGTGCCCCGCGCCTCTGGGGATCTTTCTGTTGCCTCCAACTCATAGCTCAAGAAGAGAGAATGAAAATAAAAAGCACAGGATTGGCTGTCAAAGCTCAGGAAGACAGATGAAAGCGTGCCTCGAGAGTCAGGCAGGACTGTGAACCAGACACTGAGGTCTCCCAGGAGTGGACGCGGCCATACTGCTTCGGGCGCGGCCGCGGGCTGCGCGTCACTTCCGGCCCCGCCTCGTTGCGGCGGAGCTCCGGAAGTGAGGTCAGCTGCTCCGGGAGCTGCCCCCCTGGCTGTCGGGCGGGGAGAGCAGTGGCGGAATACTGTAAAATCGAGTTGTTATGTATCGCGGGCTCAATGATCTGGGCTTTGGTGTTGCTCTTTGCCGATCCTACCTGGAGTGTGACTCTCTCCCAGCTAACGTCCTTTTGTTTGGGGGGTTATTCTTCGTGTGCTCTGAGTAACCACAGCCCGCACTGCCCGGGGTGTGTTTCAGGGTCCCTGGCATAGCACCGATTAACTTGGGTTAGAAACTCGGCGGTCCCAGAGTCAGATAGCCTAAGGGTCTGAAGCTCTTACTTTGCATGTAAGACACCCCCTCCCCCTCAGGGCCAGGAATGACGGCTGGTCTGTATGCTGTGTTTTCCTACACATTATCCTGAAAACCCCCGAGGAGGTTTTTTTTTTTTTTTTTTAAATTCCAGAAGTAACAACCTTAAGTAATAGTGTCCAAGTAGACAGGTCTGATGTATATTGTCTCGCCTACTGTGACGTTTTCTTTTTATGTTAAGGTGCTGAAAAAAATACTTAAAATTACATATAGAAGCACAGCGGTAGGGCGTTTGCGGTTCGATTCCTCCTTCCCTCTCAGAGAGCCCCCAGCAAGCTACCGAGAGTATAACTAGTCTCACAATGGAGACATTACAGGTGCCAGCTCAAGCAAATCTATGAACAACGGGAGGACAGTGCTACATATAGAAATCAGAAAAAGTTAACTTGCTCTCTGCCAGTAACCTTAATTTTATAAAAGTGGAGTTTCACTGCAATTCCATTTTACCCATCATCTCTACCTTGCCTCCATCCCCCTCCAGTGTTTTCTGTACCATATCTATCATGTCGCATTACACAGTTCTTTTCCAGGGTGTATTCAGACCATAGCAAACAGGAGTTGTTACATTTGCAGCATTTGGTGAAGAGAAACATGTATACATGTAATATCTACACTATCTTTACATCATATTCAGTAGCCTCCCTAATATCTTCACTAGGCCCTTCCAGGGTTAATTCTCACTGAGATGGAATAATAGCCTTTGTCATACAATCCAAAGTGCTTGCTTGTGTGTCAAGTATAAAAGAGCTGGGAAATATGATGCATTGCATTGGTTTAAAACATATTTCTATATATAGTCATAAAATGGCTATAAGTGTGTGTATATTTCTGAATTGATTCTTGGGATAAATGCTAAGAAGTGGACTTGCTGGAACATATTAAAACCTCTATTCTTTATTTGAGAAAATTCCATACTATTTTCCATAGTTGCTGAACTCGATAATATTCCCACCAGCAATGAATGAGAGTCCTAATAAAATTTATTTCTGGGTGAGCACTATTCAGTAAATCTTTCTGCTTTGATGGAAATGTGCATTCACTCTGTGAAATAAGGTAGTCATTAGCCATGTGTAGCTTTTGAGAGCATGAAATTGTATTTTATTAGTATTGCTTAGTATTTATTACTACTATTAGCTAGTATTATTAAGAAACTAAATGTAGATTTAATTCAGAATAGCCACATTTGGCTACTGATTTCTTTGTTGAACAGTACAATTCTAGACATGCCTTTCCTACATTATATCTTCTGGGCACATAATGAATTTTCATGTCTTTGGTGCAAAACAAGTTTTTCTCATTGTTTCATCTCTTTCTCACTTCTCATTACCTTTTGAAATCTAGCTTCTGCTCCTACCAACCCCCAGAGATAAGGTCATCCATATTTGGAATACTGCTAAATCACTGAAGCATGACATTTGATTGTTTTTTCTCACTTCTCACTCTTTAATTCTAAGTCACCTGCTCTTTGGGTTCCTCTTCTCAACTCTTAAATTCATTGCTTTATGCAATGTGTCTTTTCAAAGCATCATGTGTCAGGACTTGAGGTGATGAGAATAAAGGACATGCCCAGTCTACATATAGTTATGGTCTGTTGTGGCTATTTCATAAATTGTTAACATTCAAACTAACTGAATGGCATATAAAGATGTTAATGACACTGTCAATTGCCAGGTAATTTCACAATTAAGCTGTTTCTCTGGGATGGGGCCAAGGGAGACTGGTGGAGGGTGTGATATTGAAATATTTTATGCTGGAAAAACTATCATTAACTGTTGGATATTAAACCTAAGAGTTTCAGGCTTCATCAGTGAATTTCCCCTTTTCCTCCTTCCAGAGAAGCATACCACACTCTTGCAAGCATCCCCAATTCAGTTCAAGTTTATCTTTACCCTTTTTTGTGTGTTTTACCTCTCATTGTCCCAGTTTCTCAAGTCAGTCTTGATTACTTATAAGCCAAAACTTTCTGGTAATTCTGGACTTTGTATTTGTAGTGCTTTGTATTTGAAGTGCTGTGTATTTGTACCTGATTTTCTATTTACCCTATAGCCTTTTTATATTTTACTATAGAGAAATGTTCTTTGGTTAAACACAGAAAGACCATAAATGCTATGCTCCTAATATTTGGGAGTTGACTGACTCTGAAATATATCTCCTCCTGGGCATTGGTCATAATTACTTGACTCAGGCTTCAATTGCTATAGTTCCCAACACCCCAAAGGGAGGCCCTGCCATGGGATTGGGATGGACCTGGGGCAAGTGGCAAAGCTACCCTGGTATCAAAATGGAACATTCTATAAAGCATAAATTCATGGTCTTGATGCAAGCTCTTATGACTTAAGAGACAGGATCCCCATAGGGAAGGACAAGCTGAGCTGGCCTGATAACTTAGTCTGGGATTTACGGTAAAAACCTTGCTTGCTCTCATAGCCCAGAGAACTAAGTTTTGGGATCTTTGTTTCTGACTGTGTTTATCCAAACAACTGCAAGTATTGATAAGAAGTAAACTTGATTGTTTAACATAGAAGGAAAGACAAAAGTAATATAGATATCTATGGGAGACAGAGTGTCTCCTTGAGTTAATCGCCCCAAGAGAATTTCCTCTGACAAATGTTTTGCTTTAATCTCAAGAGAATTGTCTTTGCCAAACGTTTTGTCTCTGTAAATGTCAATCACATATAGATCCTATACCTCAACCCCCCTCAGATGTTCTATAAGTATGCTAGCAGCTCTGCATTAAAAGGGCCATTTTTACCATCAGGCTGTGGTCCTCCATCTCTCTGTCTCTCTGCTGGGGAGGCCTGGGGAGGATGGGAGGCAGCTCTCAGCCACCAAAGCACGCATCGTCACAGCACCCACACATTGCTTTGTAAGTAGGGCACTTGCCTTAACTTTGCTGTCCAGGTTTGATCTCTCTCACCCTGTATGGTCATCTGAGTCTGCCAGGAGTGATCCCTTTGTACAGTAAGAAGTTTGTTTGGTTTGTTGTAGCCAAAAAATTTCGCACAAATTGAGTTCACAAAGCAATGTGCGAGTGTTGCAGTGATGCGTGCTTTTTACTGTTAATTGAACTCACAATTAACAGTACTATAAATCATGGTCCCTAAAATTAAATATATATTTTAAAATGGCTATTTATCATAGAAATAATTTTCTATTGATAACTTTAGTTTCTTCACTGTCTCACTGTCATTCGTTGTTCGTCAGTTTACTCGAGTGGGTGCCAGTCACGTCTCTATTCCTCCCAGCCCTGAGATTTTAGCAGCCTCTTCTTACTTGTCTTTTCTCAATGATTGGAAGCTCTTTCAAGGTCAGGAGAATGATACCTGTAGTCATTACTGGTTTTGGCATATCAAATACGC